ACAGGTGACAGCTCTCTGGACTCTTTTTTACGGGGATTCGTAAAGACAAGAGTTTATAAGACCTCTATAGAAAATTTAAATGACATGGAAAACCGAGAATGAGCCATGGATATAACGCCGTAAAACCCGACATTTTGAGACATGGTGAGAGATCTTTCCTGAACTGAACTTTTGGACCTCTAATTTGCTCTAAGAGTGTATTTTGGATTGTATAAACATTAAATCATCCTGTATAGCAAGATTTCTTAATAATACAATTAAAATTAGAAATAACCATTTTCAAAAAGTAGCCGTTAGTTGACTGTATTGTTGATAGTCACAAAAATGTAGCAAATTTAATAAGGAACATAAATTTTCTTTTATTTTATTAGGTATTACTTATAGCAAAAGCAGATAAGTCACAAGTTAGGATGGTAGTCAGAAATATTAAAATCATCAATTATTAATTAATTAATCATATACTTCACTAGCTGCTTTAAAAAGCGTCACGTATATTCAAATTCATTTAGCACAGCATGTTCAGTACCATGAAACAAAATCCACATCCCCAAATAGTCACGTGAAGATTTCAAAGTTTTAAACGCATTTTCATCAGTTCTCGCAACTAATGTAATTTCCGCTACAGTCTTTCCGACGGAGGATATAATCATCGTGTCTTCCTTACTGCTTTATTGAATTAAAATTTACGAAGTTTTTAAATACAGGTTGCAGCCGACTCTGTCGACGGCGAAAGGGGAAGTCAAACATTCGCATTAAATTCCAAAAATAACAGCAAAAGTAGCAGCATAAACGCGGCAAGATAAATAAGGTAGATTTAGCTAATATTTATCTCAAACAAGTGGTGTACGTCCAAAAATTCAGTAAAACCTATACAAGTCTCTAAGGTTGAAATTTTCTCTCTGTCTGTAAGAAACTTAGTCTTCTGCATACTAATAACATACGAAGGTCTGCAACTTTGACAACTAAAAACTAGAACAAAATTTAACACAATACTGTTTTATCTATTGAAGTTGCGGATTTCCATCATACACTACTTTGTTTAGTGACGCATGAAAGACGCCGCTAGTGACACAATACTGATGTCCTGTGCATCCTGTGTTATATCAAACGTTACAAATGATTCCCAACGTGGTCGATACTGACCATAAAAAATATAAAAAGAAAGATAAAAGTAAAAATGTAAAAGTTTTCTGCCGTCCAATAATGTGGTCGTCATTTCCGGTAGAGGTGGTTCAGGAACGTCATCGACGGTGAAAATTACTGAAACGAAAAATAACGTACAGAAATAATATAGCCCTCCGTTTAACAGCTGCAAAAGATCATTGTCTTCTGTGAAAATGTGTCAGTTTATAAGATTCCTTAAATAGCGGTCACTTTTCTCAGTTAACTGGTGAGTGGGACTTGTTCTACTACAAATAATGTATGAAAATAAAAAATAACAAACTCGAGGTTCTGCTTACATTAGCCGAATTTGTATAATGCAGCAGAATAAATCTCGTCCAATAATAATTAATTCGCCACGCACAATAATAACCTTCGTAAAAACAAACGAAAACTTTTCTCACGTTCAAAAGTAATAAATTATGTATACAGTCCTAGATTATATACAGGGCACGCTTTTCTATGGTCCCTAACTTTTCTTCTAAAACCGAGAGGTCTGCTAGAATAAAAAAATTTGTCGAAGATTTTTTCGACAGAACTTTCCTCGCCCATAAAGTATAGTTTCTCAAATCCAGCTCTTTGATAATGATAATGAATATTTGTTGATAATTTGCGCTAAAGCCTATATCTGGTCAGGAGTCGTCTTACACTTGTTGTTTCATGGATCCTAGAGTATGAGCAAGTAGCTCTCACATTTCCATGTGTCGTTTGTGGTTTATCACTTATCGTTTGATGACATCATTAGAACATTTTTTAAAATAAACCCTGTTTCGTACATATGTTTATGGTTGCGAAGGATAGGCAAGCAGCAATTCCTGTCCACCCCCTTATTGCCTACCCTTAACTACCACCCACCGATAATCCCCACCCACACAAGAAAGCCGCCCTCTGGGAGAGGAAAATTTAAAAATATTTGTAACGAATTTTCATCGTTGTTCGTTAACCGTCGAAGTGAGAACATCTCGTGGCGGCCCGTTGTTATTGTTGTTTGTTGTCTCATTTTCGTTGCTGCAAGAGGCCCCAGCGCCTTTTCTTCGTATCTACAAAAGGCCCAGGTGCCTTCAATCAAGAGAAATCGTCGAGGAAGATCGTTGCAATCAGGGTGAGTCCGTTGTCCATCTTCCTTATATTGTTGTTTGCTTTTATGACTTGCGTCGTAAACAAACCCTGTAAGGACAAAATATAAACACATGCGTTTTCGTAACATAATACGCTTGAATCAGAAGTGGCGTGGTGTGGGTTAATTAAAGGCACGCTGAAGTTAAAATTGCCTTCAATTTATTAATTACACAGTCGAACAATTTTAGAAAAATTTCTTGTTACAAGCATTCTGAAAATGTATTCTGAAAGATCATTTTGTGCTTAATAACTTTCTAATAAGACATTATGCCTACGTCGTCAAAAAAATTTTTTTGGAGATTGTTCATAAATGTTCCAGTTGAAGGTGTACTATTGTATAATGGGAATAAATATCTAGTACTGCCGACTGCATACTCCAGAGAAACTGCAGAAACATATGAGAATATTCAACACTTGTTAAACTGTATTAACGACAAAAAGTTTGAGTGCAATTTGATAGGCGATTTAAAAATTGTAGCTTTAGTAACTGGCTTCCAATCTGGATATACCAAGCATATGTGCTTCTTATGCAAGTGAAATACAAGAGAGAAAGCATTTCAACATCTGAAAACAATATTTCCTAAGCTTTCTGCTGCTAAAGTAAACCAAGGTAAAAACTAAAATATTACAATGAATTTCAGTTTTCATATTATGAACGTTTTCTATATTTAGGAATTTTCATTGGGCCTGAAATTCGAATGAAGGATCAAATGTTCCACGCCTATTTGAATGATACGGAAAAATTTACTTGGGAATCAATTAACTTAGTAATCAGTGAATTTTTAAGAAACAAACGTTCCACAAATTATGTCTCATTTAAATTTCTTTTGCTGATAATCTTTTTGTCGAGAACTCAAGAAAGTCGAGAAAGATTTAAAAGAAAGACCCAAGTATCCATTCCGAATTCATGAGAAATGATAAAAATAAAGAGTTAGATCCTTCTACATATTCTAGGCAGGTTAAATATTCCTAGACGTAATTAAATATCTGTCGACAGAAATCTGTGGAACATTCTTTTAATGCTTTAAGGACAAAGGACAAAGGACACAGGACAAAGGACAAAGGACAAAGGGCCCCGAGGACCGAGTGGTTTTTTTCCGTGGGCAGAGGCGAAAGGGCCCCGAGGACCGAGTGGTTTTTTTCCGTGGGCAGAGGCGAAAGGGCCCCGAGGACCGAGTGGGTTTTTTCCGTGGGCAGAGGCGAAAGGGCCCCGAGGACCGAGTGGTTTTTTTCCGTGGGCAGAGGCGAAAGGGCCCCGAGGACCGAGTGGTTTTTTTCCGTAGGCAGAACCCGAGGACCGAGTAGTTTTTTTCCGTGGGCAGAGGGGAAAGGGCCCCGAGGACCGAGTGGTTTTTTTCCGTAGGCAGATCCCGAGGACCGAGTAGTTTTTTTCCGTAGGCAGAAGCGAAAGGGCCCCGAGGACCGAGTAGTTTTTTTCGTAGGCAGAAGCGAAAGGGCCCCGAGGACCGAGTAGTTTTTTTCGTAGGCAGAACCCGAGGACCGAGTAGTTTTTTTCGTAGGCAGAAGCGAAAGGGCCCCGAGGACCGAGTAGTTTTTTTCGTAGGCAGAACCCGAGGACCGAGTAGTTTTTTTCGTAGGCAGAAGCGTAAGGGCCCCGAGGACCGAGTAGTTTTTTTCGTAGGCAGAACCCGAGGACCGAGTAGTTTTTTTCGTAGGCAGAAGCGAAAGGGCCCCGAGGACCGAGTAGTTTTTTTCGTAGGCAGAACCCGAGGACCGAGTAGTTTTTTTCGTAGGCAGAACCCGAGGACCGAGTAGTTTTTTTCGTAGGCAGAAGCGAAAGGGCCCCGAGGACCGAGTAGTTTTTTTCGTAGGCAGAACCCGAGGACCGAGTAGTTTTTTTCGTAGGCAGAAGCGAAAGGGCCCCGAGGACCGAGTAGTTTTTTTCGTAGGCAGAAGCGAAAGGGCCCCGAGGACCGAGTAGTTTTTTTCGTAGGCAGAACCCGAGGACCGAGTAGTTTTTTTCGTAGGCAGAACCCGAGGACCGAGTAGTTTTTTTCGTAGGCAGAACCCGAGGACCGAGTAGTTTTTTTCGTAGGCAGAACCCGAGGACCGAGTAGTTTTTTTCGTAGGCAGAAGCGAAAGGGCCCCGAGGACCGAGTAGTTTTTTTCGTAGGCAGAACCCGAGGACCGAGTAGTTTTTTTCGTAGGCAGAAGCGAAAGGGCCCCGAGGACCGAGTAGTTTTTTTCGTAGGCAGAATCCGAGGACCGAGTAGTTTTTTTCATAGGCAGAAGCGAAAGGGCCCCGAGGACCGAGTAGTTTTTTTCATAGGCAGAAGCGAAAGGGCCCCGAGGACCGAGTAGTTTTTTTCATATAGCGGGGCGAGTTTTATTTTTTAAAACTTTTTAATTTTTGTTAATGCTTTTTAGCAACTAGGCTTATGAGGTAACCTACACGCCTCTGGGGTGCTCGGGTGCCAGACACGTATCTCCAGATGGTCTAATGTGCGCTCGCGGAAACAGGAGATAAAATAAAAGATGGGAAAATTAATAATAAATTGAGTTTTTATTCCCTGCCACCGGTTACACAGCTAAAATAATGCACGGCTAAATTTACGAAAAACAAGTTACAATTCGGTTAACAACACAAGACAAAAAGAATAAAACGTTCAGCACAGCAACACAGCAACACTTGTTCACCATAAGCTTCATCTGAATCGTTTGACTTGTATGTGCGTTAGCTGGGTTTAACAAAGACACAATTTTTCTTTAAATTAGCAAATTTATTTTTTAAATAGATACAGTCTGTTATTCCCTATCTAGAAAGCCTGTACAAAATTCAGCAAAGGTATATACAAAAAATATCAAAACTGCGTACTCATACAAAAATGCTAAAACTATGACAGTGCAGACTTCAGGGTCATGATACACTCCAATCACAAAATCGAGAACTACTTTAGAATTCATTTTTTTGAGTTTTGATTCAAATTAAATATCATGGCACGATTCACACAAATACTAAAATTGGAGGCTGTTATACAAAAGGGAAATGAAATACATCACTATTTATTTCATGCATCACCTCGTACTGATAAATGCGTGATTTAAAGAAAGAAAAACGCAGGTTGGCGGAGCTTGTCACAGTTTTGTCTGAATGTTTAAAACGCATACAAAAATTTATAATCACCACATTTCAAGAATGCTAACGTCATAATTTTCAGTTAATTTATTCCGTATTTTATAAACACACTGTATAATTTTGGTGTTAAAGAATGTTGCTTGTTCATGAATTCTTTCTTTAAATCGGCACCTGTACGTAATTAAATTAAATGTCGGTACTGAAAAAGGAATAATACACTGTAAAGTCGTTTACTAATAGGTATAGAATAATTTGATAAACACAAATAAACTGACACTTATTAGCAGCTATTATTTATCCAGTGGTTCTATTTTTGCACAAATATTGAGTATATCGTTGTAATTAATATTGTTCAAAACACACACTAGGAAAGCATAATAGTTTATGCATTTTTAAACACCAAACACATCATTTGGCAATTTGAACTAAACCAAAAGTCTTGATATAAAAAATGAGCAGGTTGTTTTAGTTTGGTTATAGTTTCTTTTCCTACACTAGTTTGACAAAATAACAAAAAAATATATATACAACTCAGGATTAAAAACTTGGAACAGAGTACCATGCGTGAAGAAAAGAAATTATAAACAAACACGATCCTTCAATTCGCTATTTTAATAGTATCTTTGGGATTGTACAAAATTTATATTTTATAGTAACTCTACACAAACTATAAGTATTTCTTACGGCTATTATTGAACACTCACACGTTCAAACGATAATTTACAAATAAAAAAGACTAGCATAAGTTTTTATCAGTTTTCCTTCGTCTACGTAATATAAACGAAGAAAAGTCCGAATGAATAAGTTAAAATAAAATTAAAAAATACAAACGAGAATTCCTGTTCCCAGAAACAAAGGAAATTCTAGGGTAGCTAAAAGTAAATAAGTTATGATTGAGCATGTATGCCTAAAACAATATAATGGTATCACAGTTTAGTGAAAATAACACGGGGTCGTTCAGGTAACGCATCGAAAATTAAAGAACAGAACCTGATGACAAAAAAATTCCGTAAGTCGAGTATGGAATGATGCGTCACGTATCCGAATAATAATAATTAAAAATCAACTAAAACGCACTTGAAGAACTACCACCACACCGTACGTAAAAAATTTGATAAATGCAAGGACTTAACTACAAAAGTATTCATCAGTAATAATTAGAGTGGTCCTAACAGTCGAATACAAATGTATTTTTAATTTTTTAATAGGATAAAGTTTCTATCGAAACACTACATTCACCACGTCTTTGATGGTATTGTTGACCTCGTTGATGTACCTAGTGTTTTCGGTGCTATTGCGTGATCCGGCCGACCTAAGTTGTCTAGCTTGGGTTTCTAAACGGGTGAGCAGTTCGCGGAATTGAAACTTTGTATGAGCAGGAACTACGTTATCCGCATAGTCCATGCAAGAACCATGCAGCAGACCTATTTTATCCGATAACTGAAGCCAGGTGGTCGTCGACACAGAATCGTTTGATTTGATGCTTCTGAGAGTCGATTCCAACGCTTGAGATAATTCTAGGATGTTGTCCTTGCCAACTTTATCGCCCGAATCCTGCAATCATTATTTAGTTAATACATTAATTCCTTAAATAAACTTCTATTCTAATTTCATTACAATCGGTCCGCTAATTTTCTCTGTAATAAAAATCCGAACGAAAATAGCATTTAATATGGACAAATTTGAGATGACGTCGTCAAATTATTGGTAGGGACGTTTGGATAAATAATTCTAGCGAGCGTTTCACTACATGATATGCCTAAAGTACATATAAAATTTCACAATAGTCAGTGTGGTAGTTTTGAAGATTACTTGTCTAATAAAATCGCCAATACAGATTCAAACGGGAAACCTATTTTTTCATATTCCAGGGCTCTTGGAATGTCGACAAAACATGAAAGTAACCATTCGTCTAGCTTATGCTGGGGTAGTGAAAATACACCCTACTTTATTTGAAATAAAAAAGTTGATGCCATTCGCCGAAAAAACACCATAAACATAACGTTAAGATACAGTCATTTTATAAATGTATTTCTTATATCAATGTATCGTTACGAACTAAATCCATACGCTGCCCCAGTACGACGCCTATGGGTTTTCTAGTATGAACGGTCAGGACTCATCATCATCGACGGCGGCGCTCGAATAAAGAAAAGCCTAGAAGTGGAAGTCGCGATGGGCACTCCAGAATAATCTCGATCGCGAAATTCGTTTCTAGATATTTATCTAGAAACGAATGGCGGCTGTTTAAATAGGGATCACCGTCGGGAACGCCCAGTCGAATCCAGTCAATAAAAGTATATGAACTGATTTTAATTGTGTACATAAAGCATTTTAAAAACATACTCCATTCTAATTGAAAATAAAATATTGATGTCATCTCCGCATAAACCAAAATGATGGATTTTCTGTGTGATCACTTCCAATTTGCAAATATACAGCTGGTCTACGAGATATTATTGAAAATCTTTTTGAAGAAATCTGATCATTTTTTCAATAGTCCATGACCTGAGCACTGAGACACTGTATGCTGGAAGTTTTTTTTTTTTTTGAAAAAGTGTTATTTGAATTTTTTTAACCACTAGGATTTACGCATGGTATCAGTGCACGTAAATTAGTTAAAAAATGACTTACTTTCACATCTTCCTCTGGAGTCTTATTCTCTAAATTTGCAGGCTTCGCCATAATCGGTGGCTTATTTCCCGAACTAGGCGCTATCGGTGTTGCATAAATCGCCGACCCCGCCGGCCTACCAGCAATTATCGGTTTAACCGCTTTAACTGGAGGCTTAGTCGGTATAACCGGCTTTTCCTCAGTACTCGGAGGCCAGTTTTTCTTATCACTCTTCTTATCACCCTTCATCGAATCGTCCGAAGTATCCACCGGTGACACTTCACTAATCAATTCTTCGTTGTTTTTGCTTTTTAAAGTTAATTTTGGACTTAACTGTACGTTCCCTGGAACATCCGCGGCCTCTTTAGGTTCCCACAACTTCTTCAAACTACTAATACTTCCCGTGCTTTTCCTCTTATCGTCCGCCTCTTCGATTTTCAAATTACCACTATCTGAACTAGCCGTACTCTCGCGCTTACTCGTTTCCTGCGGAAAGAACGAATAAATTAGCGTTCCTACGATTACAAACGTAAAAATATTACTTGTTCGTTTTCATCCGTATTCGCCTCTTCCTGTTTTTTGTCCCCTCCGCTATCCACTTTCCGCAGTCTCGATTTGAAATCGATAATAGAATCGTTCGTTTCCGGTTTATCTTTAGCAGTCGGTTTTTTCGTAGGGTCGATTTTCTTGAGCTGTGATACGAAGCTGACTCCGTTGTTATTTTCAGTTCTCACGTTTCCTTGTGAATTTTTTCGAGTCGGTGGAGTCTTTTCTTGGTCTTTTTTATCCTTATCCAGGTTGAACGATTGAGACAATTCAGTCACTAGTTGAGCAACGGGATCGTGGCTGATGCCACTCACAGCCAACAACGGTTCTAACAACGGTGATTCTTTCAGGTTCTTGTTGCTCTTCTGTTGATCGGCGCGTTCTTTAATCTCGGTAACCAATTTCAGCTCCATTTCTTTGACGAGCTTGTTTTTGAACACTTTCTTGGATTTATTGTCATCTAATGGAGTTTCGTCGGTTTCTTTCTCTTTGTCAAGATCACATTCATCCGCTAAAAAACAAACGCACAATAGTCAATTAACTGCCAATTTTCGTTTTTAACGAAATGTTAGGTTACAAAGCAACCTTTCCTGAGAAGTTTTAGTTAATTTAGTAAGTAAGTGCTTAAAAATTATTAGCTTCCTCGGCGTTTCATAGCTCCTAGAACATGAAAAAGTAGGTCTTCTGTTTATACCTGCCTGTCGTCTGTTGGCGATTTTATTAAGATTGTGTGATTTTAGAAGTAAGAATATCGTGAGGCTATATGAGAAAACGTATACAAAATATGTTTGATCATCCCTAACAATAATGTGATGACGTCAAAAAAAAACTGCGAAATTCAACAACTTCTCAAAAAAAGTTACAGCTGTCCTACTCTACAACGAAAAACAAAAAATAATCAGTTGTACTACTCGACTCACCAACGATTTCTGGAAAACTTGGTGGTGGAGGCAGTGGTTCTAGCGGCGATCCTACCACAGGAACATCCGAATCGACACTCATCGGACTTCTCCCCTCTTGACTCGGACTCGTTAAACTAAGACTAGTTCGTTGAGGACTCTTCTCCTTAGCATCCTCCTTGTTATCCTTAAAACTACTACAACTGTCAGTCGACGGCTCTCTCTTCTTCAAACTAACCCCAAATCTCGAACTCGCTTCCTCGACAGAAGGCTGCAGCGTGCTAACATCACTATTTTCGTTACTTTCGTAGTCTCTAGGCAACTTTTTCGACGTAAGCGGCGAGATCGGGATCACCTTCTTCCTCAACTCCGCCGAAGAAGTCATAATACTAATACCATCCGGCATGTCGATCGGTCCGTCGAATTCTTCAGGAGGCGGAGGAAGATCGGTAGGGGGCGGCGGAAATTCCAGATCGGCCAAAGTCGGCTGGACCGATCTAGACGGGCTTCCGCCCCGAAAAGTGGTGTTCTGGCTGACCCTAAATGTACGAAGGCTGCTCCGAACGTCTCCGGTGTTGTTTCTCGAGATATTTCTAGTACGGGAGAGTTTCGAAGACGTGGGAGAACTTGGGGGATGAGTTGCGTGGAAGGTCGTAACGCCGCCGGAAGAATTGCTTCGGATCATTTGCGGTTGCGTACGGATGTTGGTTCTTGGTGATAACGATCTTGGTGTTGTTTCGGATTGTTCGATGGTGACTTGAGGTGGAATGTCTTCGTTTGTAGCCATTCCGCTTTGTTTCAAAGATTCAAGGTAAGCTCCGATGCGAGCACCTTTGGGAAGGGTGCCGTAGCGGCTGATGGCTTTTCGGACATTTTGCACTTCCAGGGCTGCAACCTGCACCTAAAGAAAAATTTTAAAAATGATATCGCGAGTTTGTATAACTTAAGTTGTGTGAAACAGTTCAATTTGTATTTTCATGTCTTTAGTGTTACGGAATATCTGTAAAAAGTAGAAGCTCTCACTTTTTTATAATTTCAGTGAATAAATAAGTAGTCACAACTTAAAAGTAATAAATCTATTGACTTGGAAGAAAGATGTTTGGTAACACAATGATTTGAAAAGTGGCAATTAGTTCTGGAGTTAAACTACGTTACGTAAACTTGGATTTCTAATAACGTTGTTACGTTAATTATGCGATGAACTGATCAATACAACGTAATTACGTAAACCAAATTCAAAAACGGCAACAAGTTTATTTAAAATGGTCTTCGTTAATTTTTATTGGTTTCTATCGAATGTCTTGTTGTTAGATTTTCTTTTAAATGTAGTATCTCATACAATAACAAGCAGACTAACAACTATGATTAGTGTCAAGACAAATTGAAGCCCTGACTGGGTTCATAACCACAAATCCTCTTAACTAGCAAACCACAAGCCCGAAAATGTAAAACTGGCAACAAGAACCACATTTCCGCCCTCGTTTCGCATGTTGTAAATCACATGTAGATTGGATGTAAATCTCTTCAGGCAGCTAATGTGGTTTGAGTTTTTTGTGAATTCGGTTCCGCCTTTTGTAAGTTCGTTGGTTTAAAGTTGTATTTTAAAATTTTGAATTCAAGCAAACGTTTCGTAATTTATTGCAAGTACAGCGAGAACACATACAAAGTAAACATGTTTGTATTCGGATAAGTGTTGTGCATTCAACTGTAAAGGTAATTATCACCCAAAGATGGACACGCAACGGTATCAGGATTTCCATCTGAGGAAACTTGACAGAAAATATTAAACATTCTAATCGTATTTACAAAGAATTTGCGCAAAGTGGTACTGCTTCCAGTCAGTGTACATAACAATTTCCTGTTTGACCAGAACAGGCAAATCGGAAAATTCAATTTCGAAAAAATAAAATCGTAGTGAAAGAACACTGATTTAACAATAAAATAATGATTGTATAGATTTGATTTACACTATTTTAGTAATTTAAATCGTGTATTATTGTTTTTCGTTTGTGAAATAAAAATTGAGAACTAAAGTCCCATGCATGCGACTGAAAATAAAATGACTTAGAGTTGGCTGGGTGACCAACTGTGTGGGTGGTACTACTGCACAACTGACACATCAGATCATTCTGTCATTTGTTAGTGTCAAAAATTAACACAAGCAACCTTAAATCGACGCCAACTCTAATTCGTCTTATTTTCGATTGCGCAGTAGAAGTGTAATTTCTATTAAAACGTGCGTTTCAGTGGGCGGGTAAACATATTTTTGAAGTTACACCAAAGTCCGCACTAAAAAAGGTAGATTCTGAGCTTAAGTTAATATATGTATGGATTGTTATAGTACAAGTAAAGGAGCATCGTATGCATATGTATCTAGTTAGTTTTTCTTATAAAAATTTGTTCATGACGTCATTAACATTTTGGCAAGGACACGTATATCAATTTTGACTAAGTGCAATGTAATACTATTAATAAGAGTACTGCATCTGCAAATTTTCAGGAAAATGAGATGGACAATAAAACATGTCGCCTTTTTTATTATTTTTTTTGAACCACTTGTATAAGCAGAAATTCTTCTGACGTGATCAACTTTCTTTCTCTAAAAATTCTACTCTTTTAAAAACATACATATTTCATATGGTAATTTCTTGTCGAGAAATGAGGATTTTGCAACTAATCTCCGCCCGTCAACTCACGGTGAATAAAGAATTCATCACAATTGAGAAGGGGTGGGTGGGCGGGGCTTATATTTGGTCCATTTTTTCTTAATAGACGAAGTCTTCTTTTCCCAACAAGAAACTGAAAACATGTTTAACTACCAGGATTTTCTAATTAAACTCCGCCCTTCAGCTTAATATTCATCACAATTGAGAAGGGGTAGGTGGGCGGGGCTTATATTTGGTCCATTTTTTCTTAATATGAGAAGTCTCCTTTTCCCAACAAAAAACTGAAAACATGTTTAACAATCCTGTTGTTGAAAGAAAATTCTATGCATTAAAAAAAAACAAAGATTAAGCCCCACCCACCCGCCCCGATCTCATTTGTGATGAATTTTTCATTCGTTGTTAGACCGAGGGGCGGAGCGTAATTACAAAATACATATTTCTCTATTGATTTGAATCAGTTTGTCTTCTCAAAACAGAGGACTAAAATTATTCATTAAACCACAATCGAACAAAATGTTATGAACATTATAATTCTTATTTTATTATTATTATACAAAGACATGCGTGTTCTCGCATTCTCGATAAAATTTGGTAACTGACTCGTTTTTAATTTAACCAATAAAAAATTTGTTAAGTTTAACTTAATCTTTTATAACCAAGCGATAGATAAAAGTAAAGCTATCAAAGGTTTAGAAAACAAAGAAACAAATATGGGAATGAAATAGTTTTAGGAACACAGAAAAGATATTTTAGCAATTTAGTGAAAAACAAAAATACGGAAAAACCGTAAAAAGTGATGGCTTTTGGCAAGATCTAGAAAAGGAAAATTAATACAAATTTTAAAATCTGAAATTAAAATTATATCAGTGATTAGAGTTATATTTTTAAAATCAAAAACTTTTCCTCAAGGAAATCACAAACAACATTTAAATCATCAAACAACGGAGTAGAAGGAGAACATACTACAAAAACAAAGAGAGAGAACGGGTGGGTAGGCGGTGCTAAGTTTAACTTTTTCCTACAAAGTCTTTTATAATTAAGCAATTGTTTATGCAACCGGCCCTTACTGTAAAAGTTGGAGATGACGTTACATCATTCGGAGTGGGGAATATTAGACAAATATTGGTTACACAATATTTCTAATAAACATAAAAAAATTGAAAACAATCGGTCTGGGAATTTGAGATTATCTGAAGAGTAAAAATGGACACAGATGCGAGCAGACGGCAAATAGACAGACGGAAACGTAGTATTCCAGGAGTCATGAAACGTCAAGAAAACATAAAAGTAGCAGTCGCCCGATGGAGTCGATTGCAATACTCCTTAGCTTACGCTTCACAAGTAAAAAATTGGCCGAAAGTTGTTTCGACTTTACACAATTTTGTGACCACCTCGTCAATATTTTTGCAAGGACACGTATATGAACTCGGATTGGGGCAGTGTAGTACTTGCGAAGATAAAGACTGATTGTGGCAAATTACATACCCCATAAGAAAATAGAGGGCGGGTGGACATAGCTAAATGGTATTTGTTAAAATGAGATTAATTTTGGTAAATGACTGAACAATATTAAGAGTAATCACTGGAATGAAGAGTGGGTGGGTGGGTGGGGCTATTGCTTGCTTATAAAAAAATCTGTATGAAAAAGTTAAACTTAGCCCCACCCACTAATCCGTTCTGTCATTTTTTCCTTTAGAAATAAGAAATAAATGTCCAAATAGTCCCCATTCTCACTTAACAAAAGAACCCATAATTCACCCCACCCACGCACCCTGCATCCATTTCAGTGATTCATTTTGTCTAATCCGAATGGTAGATCTTAACTGAAGATAAAATCGGTACAATGAGAACAGTGTGTGTGGGCGGGGCCAGTATCAGCTAACATAAGATTGATTTTGGTGAATGACATACCTTCTAAGAAAATAAAGGGTGGGTGGGTGGTAGGGGTAGTTAGCAAGATAAAAGTAACTGTGGCAAACGACATACCCTCTAATAAAATAGAGGGCGGATGAGCGGGGCTATTACTTGTTAAGATAAGATTGATTTTGGTAAATGATATCTTCTAAGAAAAAAAAGGGTGGGTGGGCGGGGCTAAAACTTGCTAAGCTATACAGGTTATCATAACAATATTATGAGTAATCACTGGAACGAAGAAGGGGTGGGTGGGCGGGGTTACTGCTTGCTCATAAAACTAGAAAAAAGCTAAATTTAGCCCCGCCTACCTTCTTTCTCCATTTCACTAACTTATTTTATTTAGTGTAAAACTGAAATTGAAAAATAAAAGTATTGTATGTACTTCCAAGGTTTTCTGAGAAAATTTTCATTTCCTCAATAATATAAATTGACTCATTCATTAATTTTTTGAAGCCACCTGTTTAAGCAAATCTAGTAAAACAATTTACCATGTTTACAATAACTCTAAAACGTCTGCAAGATTTCAAAGTATTCAGTTTTGCAATTCTTGATTTATTCAATAAAAGAAATTGACTGATCCATTTTTTTGTGTCACCTTGTATATATAGACTGATAATATTTTGCACATTTTAGATAGGATTTATTCGGCTAAATTTTGAGATGACGTCATCAATTTTTTGGGATTGCAAAATGTTGTTTTATAATTTTGATTTTTTTTTCCAAAAATCTGGACGTTTCGGGTAAAACTCAATACTCTACAATTTACACCCATTTACTATGTACAATTTTGAAGTGACGTCATCATATTATTGACGAGGATGATTAGACAAATTTTGGTTCGTGTTTTACCATCTACATAATATTCCTAATATAAATACAAAATTGGACAGTCGGCTCAGTACTTTCGGAGATTATATGTCTAATAAAAATCCGGGATGGCAGACAGACGGAAAGGGGAAGCCTATTTCTTCGTACTGTAGGTGTCATGAAAGGTCGAGAAAACGTAAAAGTAAAGGGTCGACCGACGGACTTGTTTACAATACGTCCTTAGCTTACGCTCGGGAAGTAAAAATTAAAGAACATAATAAAATAGAGTTTATATTTTTTTAATGAATAATTAAGATGAACATTTACTGGGTTCAGTGTAGATTATGAATTTTTAAAGTTAGTTACTACAAACCTTACCACAATAAAACACTTCAATTGCTGGTAAAATTTTATGTCTTAATGATTTACCTTTCGATTCGATTCAACCATTTTTGAAATTTGTGGATAAAATTATAACAATAAAAATAGCAATTACGTTTCCTTTACTTGCATGCTAATTTGTTACCTTGATAAACGTAAACTTTAAATACTTATAAAACAGACTTCTTGGTATTGTCATAGGAGTCCAGAGGATATATGACTATTTTTATGTTTTCTTGAGGTTTCATGTACTCTATAGTATGACAAAATAGGTCTCTTGTTTCAGTCTACCTCGCTGTCTTACTATGTGGATTTTTATCAGACAAATAATCCCCGAAATTACTGAACCGATTATTGTCAAATTTTATATACAAGGTGTCCTCATTTCTCTCTTGTTTAGAAACACCAAAAAATAAGTTAATTTATGTAAGAATCCTGCGGAAGAAACACCAGTAATGCTTGAAAACAGCGAAGGAAGCATTAAGAGACGAATACTTCGTCTTCGTCTGGCTTGATGCACATAGACGCTGTTTTGAACATTTTGAATATTTAATTTAATCTAATTTAGTAGACAAATCTACTTACAAATAATCTTTCCTTAAAAACCTTTGCATCTTGAATAATAGGACAACTGATTTAAATATAACAAATAAAAAATACACCCATTTTCCGCATTTACCCAACCTAGTTTTTCTGCGACAATTTTGAAACACCCCAGATATGTTAAGATAGACGGTCAAACGCTAACCAAAATTTGTCTAATCATCCCCACTAATACATTGATGACGTCACCTCAAAATAGTGTAGTAACTGTTTTTGAAATTTTATAAAATAACATACTCGTTACCTGTGGTTAATGAATCTACCTTGACTTTTTCCCTTATGCATCCAGACTTTTGCATTTTTTTATTTCGCTGACTGGTATTATTTTTTTTAATTTATAGTTTCTCATTAAAAAAAACTTCCCAAAATGAAATTTTATCATTTTTCAAAGAAACTAGATTTGTTGGATTATACTTCAGAGGCTACAGAAGTTGTGTCTAAATAGCCTTATTTTTTTGTATTTTCGGTAAGAAACGGCCAGAAGACAAAAAATCTTACTTTCCAAATTGTGGTTAAAGTTAAATTGAATTTCAAAAATAATAAACCAAGAAGATAGTACAAAAAAATAATACAATTAAGTATTTTAATAAAGAGAGTAGAATTTTGTAAGTGTATTTTTAGCTATATGACAAAGACTACACCCTATAAAAAATTACAATATGTATTAATGTAGTTCCAATTCTTCAAATATTGTATTAAATAAAACTCCAAATTCATTGTATCCACGTATAATATTCAAAAATAAAAGTTGGTGAGAAGTTGTTGCCTCGAGGCAGCATCAATTAAATAAAAATTTGGTTAGCAGAAATCTCTTACTGTGGCTCTGAAGACCCATAAAAATATTCCCAAGTCACTCACTACATTCAGGAATATTTTGGTAACTTAGGTAAACATAAAAATTTAAAATAACTATTAGCAAACTCAATTAAGCACAAAACAATTATTATTAAAAAAAAAAAAAATGGCATGTATGTTGGTGTACAGTTGATTTTGTACTTTTTTTGAATTTCTGTTTAAAATGGATATTTTTGGTCTTTACATATAATTTTTTCATGAAATTAATTGGACCACGTTAACCAAAAACGTACTAAGCGACAAAATTGCAATTCGAGTAATACTAGAGCAAACTTTCATTAAAAACTAAAAATTTGTATTAATGTCGGAATAAAATTTTTGCCTGAAGAATACATGACTTTATGAATGTAGTCTATTTTGTTAATGGCATCAAAAACACCCAGTCCTTTACAGTTTTAAGGAAGCATTTTGGCGCTTGGTTCTTTTCTGAGAAAACCATAATATCAAATTTATTATTCCGTAAAAAGGCACTAAGTAATTTTTTGAAAAATATTATATATATTTATATTAATTTAACGACCTGCTACAAAAAGGAACATATGCCATGAAACAAAAACAAAAATGATTAAGTTAAATTTGTTTCCCCTAATTCCAAATCGATATCATCTGAAAAACTCTCCACATCAAATTCACAGTTTATTCCCCGTAAGTTTTTGTAAAAGAGTTTTGCACCCTCGGGAATAAAAGGACAACTGCCAACTTTTTACCCGATATTGCTTTTCCATTGGGCCATAATGTAGACAATTTTCCAAAATTTTTAGAAGTCTTTTCCTTTTATGCATCAAAACTTCATTGTAGATTTTCCTGATTATTTGTCATAAAAATAGAAAGCGGTTTATCTTTAATAAGTTTAATCACTCTTGTCTTCAAGCGTCTAATTTTTTGTTCATGTATGCATGCCTTCTATTTGTGACACTAGACTCTAAATCGGCTTCACTACAAAAATGTTCTTTCTGCATAAACTAAACAATAAGTGGATTTTTCTTTCTACAATTTAACATAATATTGGCGTAATCTTGTGGTGTATATACCTACTTAATGACTCCAAAATCTTTGTCATTTGGTAAAACACTATCTTCCGAAACAAAAAATTTCAAATAAATCGTTTGTTAAGTAGAATGTTGCTATAAAATTGATTTTAGCATGAATACAGTATATTACTATTTTGACGCCCACAAGAGTCCGACCACAGAGGCAGTTTTATTATATCCTTTTTGGTAAAATTTTCAGTAGGTATTAAGCTCTTAAGACAAGATCCCACCTTTTGTGCGCCACGACCTATTTTCTTTTTTTCCAAATAAAATAGTGTCCTTTCCTTGTTTTACCGGAGTAAATACCCTCGTTATAAAGCCAAAATTGACGCTTATAAAACACTACGTTTGTAGGATAGTTATAAGGAAACAAAGCACTGGCCAACCAATTAAAAAAAGTGCTGTGTCGCTTGGTACCTTTTTGATTAAAACATAATCCCAGATTTATTAAAGGCGCATAGTTCTACCTCAAATTTTGGTATAAAAATAATTAAGACAAATAAAGGATTTTTATAAATTAGTTTTTGACATTAAATTCTGACTGTTAGGATGTTTAACTCATTTTTTGCGATTTGGCGCTTAGTACATTTTTGGTTAACATCGTTCAATTATAATTGTTGCAAGATTCTGCCTTCCGATTTACTAGCTAAAAACGATCCGGGTTTATACAAACAGATTGATAAATCCACATCATTTTGTCTTGAAAAGTTTACTTGTGACAGATTTGGCCTTTATAATATTGCATTAAAGTATATAAAAAATTTAGGACATTCTTAAACTTATGCTATAAAGTTGCAATATAATGAAGTAGCGATGGCATGGCGTAACCAAAATCTGGAACATTTCTGTATTTCAAGGTTTCAAGTTATGCAAGAAAGGCAAACTATATGGCAATACTTTTTAAAGGTTGCTCTGTTCCAGAGTTTAAACTGGAATTTAATCATGAAAAAATATAGAAATATATTCGATTTTAAATATACTAAAAATTCGTTTTAAATGTTTTATTGCACAGTTATTCAACTAGACATGAATTTCTTTTTGTGTAAATATTTAAGTGGTATGCAGGGTAAAATTCAGGATAAGCACCCTGCATGTATTAACTTTTAATGCTTTCATTTTAAATTGCTATAGTAAGAGCTCTAAGCGAAAAAGATTTTTCAAAGCATTTTTCGAAAAACAAAAAAAAAGTATCAAATAAAATTTTACTCAAATAACGTATTGTTAACTTCTCAGAATATGGATTTCTGAATGGTGTTTATTGTATTTTTTTAAGAGACATTGCAACACCATAAATAAAAAAAAACACAGTCGTAACGTGCTAATGGACGTTTTTATCAGCGTAAAAATAAAACCATTTTAAAATTAAATAAATACAAAACATCCATTGGCAGTTCTGACCCTACAACAGCCCAAAAATAAAACTTACAGGAGTGGTGTCTTTAGCCTTAGTCTTTTTCCCTCTCTGTTCTAAGCCCCTGTTGCCCATGATTGGAGCCCGTTTGAAGGAGCCAGTGGCGCACCCCAAACTACTTACTGACGACACCTCTGGATACGAATGCGCACCAGAATCGTCAGTATCTGGTGTTTGATCCTGTAGATCACTCTCACTATCACCTTTGGTACTGGCCGTCAAGTTCTGTAAATCTCTCGTCAAACCTAAATAAACCACACAAAAATTAATACCCTCGCCAACACACCCACAAACACAAAACAATATCCGTACATACATACAAACAATGAAATTATTTTATTACAATACGCTAAAGTTAGAGCTTCTCACATCACATGTCAGTTCTACAAAAAGGTTAGTCGATACGGAAACAGGTTATCAAAGCTCTTCCACATGCGTAAAAATGAACCAAAAAATACCTTTGAATCTTTTTTTAATACCGTTTAAATCAGATCCGTCTTCGGCGGCATTGTCGCCTTGTCCTTGGTCTTCGAATGTACTATCCCGGAACGAACTGCAAGAAGACAGCAAGCTGCAAACGAATTAAAATCACCACACGATTTGTTAGTGTTAGTAGATGAATGGATATTAGAATGATAAGTGAAATGGACACGATGATTACCTTGTACGTTTCGGAGGTGCCGGAGCTTGCTTGCCTCGCTTGTTCGTTGTACGCCTCATTTGAACCAAATTGTTTTTCGAACCACCCGTGAAAGTCGACAGCTTTGATGTTACACTCACGTTGTCACCTGAAGATGAAAAAATAACCCTTGATACATGATATAAATTAGTGTATATTTTAATATTAATTTACAATTAAGTTTTATGTCATTTAATAATGTCAAACGTGTTACACTTGTAGCAGCTTTCTTGGATTTTCTGGCCAAAATTAGAACGCATTAGAGTAAATTAGAATTTGTGAATTATTATTTCATTTTTTATTTTATTTTCACAATAAATCGTAATAACAAGAATATTTGTACTTTTTTTGCGTAATATTACTCACACACAACAATATTAATAACAATAATTATGTTGTTTGGTTGTAAAACAGATTTAATTATTTTATTACGGACGTCTCATCAAAATATCCAGCTTAGACGGCGTGAAATTACGAAATTCCAGTTCTTAATTTGATCGTAAATCGATACCGGCGCATTAAAAAGTAGTGTTAATTAATTAACTTCGGTCTCACAAAAACAAAGAAAGTTGTTTTCTTGAGTAAAGTAACCACAAGAGTGCAGTGTCTCTTCAACTTTCACAACCACAGCAGACAATATGAACAACAAAAAATTAACGAACTTTCCATTTTACTTTATTTTCGATAAAACTAATGACGATGAATCTTCAACAAAAAATAATCTAGACCGAATAACCGTTACGAAATAATGCCAACAGCAATTCATAAAAAGTGTAATAAATATATACTCCCCTACAGCGTTATCGTCTTGAAATTTGACAGCAACATACATTAAATTGTTTCATATGTATCCTGGAATTTTTTATCGTCCGACCACGAAATATCCGCATTCGTGTTTTCCACCGTTCACCTTTATCAACGCAGCGATTAATTAACTACCCAAAGTTGATATACATAATTCATTATACCCCTGGCAACCCTTTCAAGATTTAAAAACGCCAAACAAACAAATTAACCGAAACACCAACAATCTCACCTGGTTGATCGCCTAACCCCACTAAACCATGAATATTCCCCGTGCTTCCCGAATGTGATTTTTTATAGGACATGTGGGGCGTCCCTAAGGGCACGGCAGTCTCGTTTCCTTGTAACTGTTTTTCTACTTCTGTGGAGAACAACACAAGGGTTAAAAAATTAATATTGTGCTTCATTTTTACATTTACCTACCTTCGGTAATGCTGGATTCTTGAAACATATTTTCTAAAGAATTGTGGATTTCTTTGAACGTAGGCCGATCTTTGGTATGCCACTGCCAACACTGTCGCATCAGTTCGTAAATTTTGGGGGGACATCCTGGGGGACATTCCATCCTATATCCTTTTTCGAGCATGTGGTAAACGTCGGTTAAATCCACACCTACAATGGTATAAAGAGATTGAGACCGCAGTCTATCTAATGGTAAATGCTACTTAGTAAGCTGAATTCATACATTGTAATAAGATGAATCAGAGTTTTGGAATAAATTTGTTCCAATCTCTATGCCTGTAGTTTCTGAACATTCAGCTTGATGAATCTTACTTGGTAAAATTTCTAGTAAGTCGTCGATTATAATAAGTTGGAAGAATTTGGATGTCACTTTTTTCCGGTGAATGGGTAAAAATTTTATTGAGCTTTCAGGTCAAGTATAACAGTAAATTAAATCAGAAGCGCCACCCTTTTATTCAAAATAAATCCTACTTGAGGTCCCATGGTAGCACCTAGGACTCTCCGATTGTGCTTGACAGCTGTCGATATCATGCGGAAGGGACTATAAACGGTTCCTGTCTTGTATTTAGGTAAAGTAAAAGCTTTAACATAACACACAATACGACATCCTTCCTCCATTTACAGTACCTCCGTGATATACGGTTACCGAACTACAAAAATGTATGCTTTCCGTGTCCATTGGTCTAGTGTTGATATATGATTTGGTACATAATCTCAGAAACTACCAAGCCGATTATTTTGAAGTTTTAGGTGCGTATTAAGATTTGTAATTTTCTAAATTAATATAAAGCTATTACAATAGGTTTTATTTTTTTTTTACGTCATTTCGATTTGTGCCTAGTAATAAACATGAGAATTTGTAGTTGCAAGATTTAACGAATCAGACAATAAATTAATGAGTATTCAGTATAAAATATCCATATTTTTTTCTTCTATGGGATTTCTCCGTGCTTTGTTTGCTGTTAATTTTGACTCACTTCAAACCACAAAGATTTAAAAAAGTTTGTTTGGGATAACCTGAGGACAGTCCACGATATACACTCTCAAAGCTAATTGTTTTAAGTAACCAGTCACTTGGATCATGGCATAATTTAACATCATGTAAATTCTTTGTTGGAATCGTTGATAAAGTGTGGCATAATTTAACAGCATGTAAATTCTTTGTATGAATCGTTGATAAAGTCTGGCAAATATTAACCTCATGTAATTTTGTTAGTTTTGCAACTTTTCACCTCATGCAATTTTTCTCTATCTCACAATTTTAGCCTCAGTAATTTTTTTTGCTGCATAATTTAAATTGAACGTAAATTTTCATGCTCTGCAGTTCCTATCCTCACGTATTTTTTTTTGTCTGCACAAGTTTTAATTCACACCTGATCTTTTTTGTTTTTATAAATCTTTGCTAGTTATTTCTACCACGTAAATATTTTGTTGATTAAATTTTTAATCATAAAATTGTCTGATGTCAAATCTTAATTTCAGGTAATGTAAATAGAATAGGGGTAAATAACACAGAAACACGTGGCAGAAGCGGAGGGCGCGGTTCCTAGTCGAGCTGGCGGTCGCGCCATCTGCACAAAAGGATGCAGGCCTTGAACAGAAGTCAGGGAAGCGGTCGGTTCCTGGTTAGATAGAGGGGTGCTGGGCGGCAAGTGCTTGCCGATACAGTGGAATCACCGTCGTGGTGGGAGAACAGCCACAACCTGGAGCCCCAAACTCCGCTCGGGTTACAACGTCATCTATGGATAATTTTGCTGTGCTCTAAAATGAAATTGATATATTTCGATCGCCACACTCTTATAGCGCTCTGGTGCCGCTGTCGCTGTGCGCCTCGCTGCATAGAATTGTTCTTTGTTGACTGTCATATTTAAATTTGGTGCCACACGTCCATAATAACTTGTGTATTTGAATCCAGTTGCTTTAATTCAAATTTTTCTTTCCTTTTTTTTATTAAATTTGTGATATTCAGATATTTGTGTTGATTCAGAACGTTTAATTTTATTTCACCCAAAGTTAGGCAAGTTTTTTTGTAGCTGAGCACTGAGGTGTCTTCAAGGGGCACAACTTAGTCGCAGCTTTTTTTTCTTTTTTTTTTTTTGTCAGTGGAGGAATAAATGATTTTGTGTCCTCCATATATTTTGTGTTTTATTTAGCAGTACTTTTCCAACCTTGGGGTCCACCACTTTGCATCTAGAGCAAAGATCTAAATAGAGCACATACCTTAATTACAAGAATTTAAAAAAAAAGTAGATCATATTCACTTGATCTCTTAATTTTTTAGTAAACTTAAAATGTAGTTTGGTGCAGTTGTTCACCATTGGAAAATATTACTAATTTATGATCAATCATGTTAGTATTTCGGATGGATTATTGTCACTAAGCTCCTGAATATCTCATGACTTTGCCAAGACTTTTGACCGCATAGATCATCACATTCTATTAAATAAATTGTCAATTCTTGGTTTTTCGAAATCTCTTTCCAATTTGTTATATTCATACATGATTAATCGGCAACATTCAGTGAGATATCGGAATTTCTGGTCTGAATCATTTACTCCAACTTCGGGGATTCCTCAAGGTTCAAATTTAGGTCCTCTTCTATTTTTACTATTTGTCAATGATCTACCCGACTTTATCAATAACGATAAGTTACTCTTCGCAGATGATCTGAAAATGTTAAGATTAATTCAATCCTGGATTGTGACAGTTTACAGGCTGATCTATGTTCTTTATTTAGATGGTGTGTCCTAAATAAATTATATTTAAATATATTAAAATGTTTTGTTATATCATATACTAAAAAAAGAGTTTCTGTGTTGTATTCCTACAAGATCGATGGTGTCACTCTAAACAGATCCCACAAGATCAAAGATTTAGGTATAATTTTTGATGAATCTTTTACATTTGTGGACCATATTAACGACGCAGTACAAAATGCATTCAAATCATACGGCTTTATATGCCGAAATTGCAGAGATTTTTCGAATAGAAAAACCATTATCCTTCTTTATTATTCATTGGTAAGATCTAAATTGGAATACGGCAGTCTTATCTGGTACCCAATATATAATGTTCACATAAATAATATTGAATCAGTGCAAAGGAAGTTCTTGAAATTTATTAGTTTTTTAGAAGATGGTGTTTATCCTATTAGGGGTATAGACAACTCAATTTTACTCTCTAGATTTAATTTTAGTTCTTTGTCTACACGTAGGATATCATTTAGTATTAATTTTCTTCAGGGATTATTAAATAATAAAATTGATTGCTGTTGGTTATTAGCTAAATTAAATTTTCTTGTCCCAAGAATAAATTCACGATTACAGCACTCATTTTATTATGATTCAAATAGAACCAGCACACTTGTAAGATCACCAATTACGACCATGTCGTACAATTATAATAGAATATCGAATGAATTTGATGTTTATTTTCACTCACATAGAAATATTTTAAAATATGTTAATGCTGTGTTCGGTTTATAATAGCTATGCATTTTATTTTGTTACAGCCTATTCAGTTTTTATATGTAGAAGTTTACTTATGTTGTACCTTTATACTTTATGTTGTTATTATAATTTTCCTGTAATTGGGCTTGTCCCGTTGGAGAATAAACCTTATTATTATTATTATTATTCTTTTAAATGGTCAATAAAACAAGCGGTTAACTTTATATATACGACTCAATTGTGTTATACACGGTGATTATAAGAAATCGAGCATCCAGTTTCGTGAATTTGCCGCTTCGTTGTGATGATTGATGGATGACTAGTCGTCGCCTGTCATAAATATCAATCATAACCTAACTTTCTTAAGCTTTTTCTTATTTCCGTCGTTTTATTGTTATTAAAAAGTCGTTTTATGACTGCAATTTAATAAAGTCAACCTATCTACAGCAAATGATGAACTACAAATACAATGAACATAGTGTCAGATACGAAATCGAAAACATCTCAGCGAAATGACCACCTGTCACAAGAGTGTGGAGAAAACTTTAGACAAAATGATCGGGAGATATTATAAATGCCACGGACTTTCAGCAAGATGGGGGCACAGCTCATATTTGAATGTGAATAGCTTCACAGATTTTTTAAATCAAGCGATTGTTAATAACCAAACTTGATGTAACCTCTATTTAGCCCTACATGAAAATTTTTCAGACATGACACATGTTGGTATTTCTGGTCATTTAACATTTAAAACATATGAAAATGCTTATGGGACATAGTCCGGTATGGTCGAAACACATCTGGAACACACGACGAAATTACGAACGCGAATGTGAAAGATAACGGGGAATTAGAAAACAGCACGACTTGAAAAAAATCGTTGACAAATTATAGTAAATGGTGCTGTCAAAGTTACAGTTATAATAAAAAATTGGGGATGGCAGTGGAAAAGATGAAAAAACTTCGAGGAGTGATAATGAAAAATTCTATCAATATTATCTTTGCAACCGCTCGCGTGCTTTCGCTGACAAAAGTCAGCTTATTTTCATATTTTTAATGTTATTAACATTTGTTTACTAATATTTTAACCAGAAAAAAATGTAAAGTTATTTTATTTACTTTTGATTGAATAATTGCTTGAGATGACGTCATGAACTTTTGAGTGGGGATAAACATGATTTTTTGAGAATTATAGAAACAATTTCCTTACTTCCGTTTACTTACGAAAATAAAATTAAAGATTCCTAAATTATTCTATTGATATAGCCATCTATTGTACAGGACATAATAAAAGGCCTTTGATAAATTCACCCCAAACACATATTAGGGAAAATATCGGAATTTATATGACATTATTTCCAGCCATTATATATAAAATGGGTTTTGTCTGTAATAAACTAAAATTTACTCAAATTTATTGTAATAGCTACCCAAAAATTACACACCAATTTCTCAATCATTTTAATAAAACATTCGACAACAACAAAGTCGACGACGTATAATCCCATGCTCGCTTATTTTCACAACTGAATTATCATCCGACAAGAACGAATTACCAAGCATAAAAATGACTAACTCGATTTTTTTCATGAATGAATCAACATAAAGCGTTTTCCGAAAACAATTTCAACTTCCATTAAAAATCCACTCTTTCCATTCCTCGAGGCTCATTCATCGCATTACGTCATACTAATTACGCTATTTCGTACCTCATTAAGAGCAATTGTTCAAGACACTACAAACATAAACTTTGGCCAAATCCCGCAAAAAACTAGCCTCACCAACATGAAATACACACCTGGATACGGTGACATCCCGTATGTAGCGATCTCCCATAACAGGATCCCGAAAGCCCAAACGTCCGATTTCGTCGAAAATTTATTGTAGGCCAATCCTTCGGGAGCCGTCCATTTGATCGGAAATTTGGCACCGGCATGTGCAGTGTAGGTATCGTCACGCATCAGTCTTGCCAGCCCGAAATCGGCGACCTTGACTAGATGATTTTCACCAACCAGACAGTTTCTAGCCGCCAGATCCCTGTGGATGAAACTTCTACTTTCCAAGTAACTCATACCACTGGCTATTTGCGTAGCGATGTACATGAGCACGACGGCGTTGATTTGCTCTTTGTTGCCGTTTCGCAGGTAGTCGAGGAGGTTGCCTTTACTCATGAATTCGGTGATTATGTAAAACGGTGGTTCGCGGGTGCATACGCCCATTAGTTGAACGAGATTCGGGTGTTTCATCTCTTTCATGATGGCAGCTTCTTCGAGGAAATCCTTCAAGGCCATTGTGTCCTCCTTGAGGGTTTTTACAGCCACCGTCATGTTGTATCTGTAATTAAAGATTCAAGTATGACTTGCTTGATTATTAGTTTCTATCTTAAATTATACTTAATACTTTAAGTAAGATGTATGTGCTTCTTTTATTATACACCTCAGTACTAATGTTTATTTTTTGTCAGGTTGGCAATGGCAATATATTTAATTTCATGATGGCATACCTGATTGTTAAACTGACATTTAGGGTAGCGGTCATCTTCTACTCTCTACAATAATTCAAAACTTCCAACACACCTTTCGTAGAAAATACAGCAGACTATGAAGTCGCACTATTTATTGATGACACTACTTTTATTCTAATTTTGTGTCCCAGCGATTGTTATTAGAAAAAAATTAAAAAGCAACTATGTATTTTTGAATTGGTCCACTTCTGAAGTACGATTTACACAAAAATGTTTTCTGTTTAATTGAAAGTATGTTAAATTCAAACTTTCAATTTCATGGTAATTTAACAACACGAAAATCTTCAAAAATCCATAGCTGACGTGACCGTTTTTTTTTTTTTGCTCTTGTAAGTTATGAAAACGACTTCCTTGGAATTTTTCATGTGGTTAAATAAATCTCACTTGAAATATGAAAAATGACACGATCTTTACATGTGGTTGAATACACCACCATCCGGGTTTTTCCGAAAAATTAACCGTAGAGAATCAAAGTTTACAATTAATATCAAAAATTACGTAACATACTTCTTTGATATGACCGAACATTAATTAAAATTTATCACTTATCTTCATCACAAAGTTGAAAATAATCAAAACAATCAGGGTATTTGAAGATTATCATGAAGATAATAAAGTGCTAACCAAATGTCTGTTTATCCCCTCCAAAAAATATATATATACAATCTCATGATACATGACTAATGTATTTAAGTGTACTGCCTATCATACTCATCTGTTTTTGTTTGGTTCAGTAATTTTTTCGATTTTTAAGTAAACATGAACAGTTATCTAATAATTGAAAAAATATATGTATATATGTACATAAAACCGAGGTGGCGTTGAGATCTCCCATGTCTCGGTATTCCCAGTTCATCATGATGAAAATAAGAACTCAGTATTTTAATTGTCATTTAATTTAACGGTTTCATGAACACAAAGAAAAACATAAACAGTTTTCCTATGAATTATTTAGTATTAAAGCGTGTCAAACATAAAATGCAACAAATTAGCTCAAAAATTTTATCCGTAAAAAAGTGAAGTGTAGAGCTTGTTACTATGCAAAACAATAGAAACGAAGTTATAGATGCGTTGCTGTTTTACCTAACTAAGCACTATTCTACCGTGTGATTTTTTCGACCTTTCATGGCCCCTACAGTACGAAAGAATAGGTCTTCCGTTTCCGTCTGTCTGTCTGTCTATCGATTGTTGTCAACTTTTGTATTTATTTTCGGAATATCATGTAGATGGTAAAACGCTCACCGAAATTTGTCCAATTATCGCCACTAATAAATTGTACATAGTAAATGGGCTTTAAATTGGTATAAAATAACACAGTCCAACACATTTAGTTTATGACTCCGTTTTGAGTTTTTATTCGGAACGTTCAGATTTTTGGAAAAAAAAAAATCAAAAATATAAAACAATATTTTGCAATTTAATTTTGAATCTGCAAAACCAAATGCTTTGAAATCTTGCAAATATTTTAAAGTTATGATAAACATAATAAATTTTTAGTAAAATATATCTACTTATCTCCTCCAAAAAATTGATGACGTCAGCTCAAATTTTTGCCAAATAAATTCTATCTAAAATATCTAATATATGATGAGTCTATACTTGTGATTCGATTCATATTTTTTGGATTTGCATATACAGGGTGACTCAAAAAAATTAATGAATGCGTGAATTTATTTTATTGATTTAATCAGGAACTGCGAAACCGAATGCTTTGCAATCTTGGAAATGCTTTAAAGTTATCATAAGCATGGTAAATTTTTGATCAAAATGTATTTGTTCATCCTCCTTAATATATATTAATACATTATATTGACTAAATCAAGAATTGTAGAACTGAATACTTTAATCAAAAATTCATGACGTCATCTCAAAATTTTGTTGAACAGATCTTATCTAAAATGTGCAAAATATAATCAATATTTTTTAGATTTGCTTATACAGGGTGACTCAAAAAAATTAATGAATCAATCAATTTATTTTATTGAATAAATCAAGAAAATGAATACTTTGAAATCTTGGAATCTTTTAAAGTTATTATAAGCATGTAACCAAAATATATGTTTATTTCCCCCAAGAAATTGATAACGTCATCTCAAAATTTTGCCGAATAAATTCTACCCAAAATGTGCAAAATATGATGAGTTTTTACTTATGATTTATCATTGCATTCATATTTTTTAGATTTACTCTCCATTTTCTCACAGGATATGTCATTTGCCAAAGTTAGTCCTACCTTAGCAAGGACTAGCCCCGCCCACCCGCCTTCTATTTTCTTAGAGGGTATGGCATTTGCCAAAATCAGTTTTCTCTTAAGTACTAGCCCCGCCCACCCACCCTCTATTTTCTCAAAGAATTTTGTCATTTGCCAGAATCAACCTTATCTTAGCAAATATGTACTAGTATTTTGGCAAATGACATACATTATATATAATTTTACGAAAATAGAGGGCGGGTGAAAATAAATCTTTCATGCTAAGATAGGATTTATTTTGGGAAATGACATATCCTCTGACCAAATAGGGGGCGGGTGGGCGGGGCTACTACTTGTTAAGATAAGACTTATTTTGGCCAATAACATACCCTCTGAAAAAATAGAGGGCGGGTGGGCGGGGCTAGAACTTGTTAAGATGAGACTAATTTTGCCTCTATTTTATTAATCTTGTAAAAACTCATTCAATTTTAAAGGTGTTAAATTGCAAATTTCCATAGAAACGAGTTAAATTCACAAATCTGATTGGGTGTTTATTTTTTATGTTTCATTCTACTTCAGGAGCGAGGGAAGTTCTGTTTAAACAACTTTCGACCAATTTTTTTATTTGTGATCTAGTTTTCGTTGTTCATTATGTCACCAAATTACGTAGGTCGTCTCTTAGAATATACAACTTTTGTTGTGGTGGGTTGCCTATAATCTCGGGGCTTAACAACGTAAATCGTGCTTTATATTCATTTTCGCAAATTGACACAAGCAGAATTTTCATATCCAAAGATTATATTAAAAAAATCATGCTTGAATCTTACTTCCGTAACTAGTGAATGGTGAATGGGTGTATGAAGCCCGACCCCGTTTTCACGAATTTTTTCAAAAATTTTTGCTGAAACTTAAATTTCATTTCATTTTTCGAAAACAATAATTTGGACACATTTTTTCGAGGAGTCAGTTACAACTATGAGATATCAGAACATCCTACAGGAATTTTTTGACGAGCTTGATCCTGAAAAATTGCAGAATAGACATTTTCCGCATGACGAACGTTTAATTAGCTCCCATGCAGACTATATCTATCCACCTAGATCACCTGATTTGACACCTTGTGATTATTTCTTCTTTCCGACTCTGAAGAACACTATTTTTGCACAAGCTGGGCATAGAAAAGTGAGAATCATGCAAGAGTATGAATGTGTTTAGTCGGAAGTTGTTACTCGAGAAATTGAGTGTGAAACGCTAAGCCAATTTATGGGGGGGGTGTCAACATTTCCAGCAATTGTTGTAAACTCAATTGGATAAGTTATTTAATAAATAAATAATTTTAAATCCAATGAAGGTTTAATTTTTATTGACTCAGCGGTCGAAGTCCAGCCGCAGACAACATTCAGTGTAATGCACATTTTTAGGAACAAAGCGGATTATTTGCTGAATTCATTACAATAATGTTATAATTTTTTAAAACTAATTTGTTCTGTCAACAAATTTCACAAATAAAAAAGTACCCGGTAATTTATATCACTTGTCTAATGTTGGACAGAATTTATTATTTAAAAACACCAAGACTAGTTTCAATGCAAATTTTAAAAGAAAACAGAAATGTATTGTAAAAAATCTTATTTGCTACATACATTTTATTGCGACATAAATTTAAGTTTCATTGACATTAGATGAATGTAACCACTTGGTCATCTCGTAAAGTGTTTGTACGACCATGGCGCGAGATATTGATTTTTTTAAAGCAGAGCATCGTTTCCTTAGTTATGCCTTAACTCTGTCAAAATATGTATTGCTAATCCCTGTAGATAAGCTGATGTAAGATTGTATTACGCAATTATTCAAACCAATAACCGATAACACGAACATAATGGAAAAGTAGGGTTGGATAACTATAAAATTCTATGATACAATCATTAGTAAGACGTTTTAAAATATAATTATCCAAACAACTGATGGCGTTATCACAAAAAATATTTAAATATACTACAATCATATACAATTAAAAAATTGATTTTGTTAAATTTTATTTATAATAACCTCTATACATTAAAACAAATGTAGTAGTAGTATATAAGTAATACCATTAAAAGTGTGAAAAGCTAAATGGCCCTAGTGCAAATAGAACTGGCAGTTTCTCTACTAGGAGGAACCAATTCATAATCAAATTCAATTGCTCAATGCAGATCCAAAATTATCTCTCCATTGATTTTTTACTTTTTAATCACAGGTGATGGTTTTAATCCCTCAAAACGTTCCACGGTGTGCAGTTTGGTATAAAGCATATATCTGACTATTGTCAAAACAATGGCAGATGTCCTCCGAGTCCTGGGGATTATTCTGTTTACTTCCAACAGCCGGATACAAAGACTTTAATGATAATTTGACACCGTTGGTGTGGCAATCGTAGTATTGTGGAACTCACCCTTTGAGGTTGGCATATATCCAACAGAAACGTCGTAAAAGAGCTGTGCATTCAATAAGAGACAGTGGTTTGTTTTATTACTTGACCTGAGACACATTTACTAGGTGTTGCACAGGGAACTTTATTAAAGTAGAACAGTAACAATGATATATCTCTGTCCTTTAATTTTGTTCGTAAATGCAGAA